TCTTTATTATGCACTTTTTTGATTAACAACTTTGCAGATTGTTTTCATTTAAGGATAGCTACGTTATAAACTGCAAAAGAGCTATTTTTCAAAAACCCATATGACCTGCTCTTTAACATCATATATATGAGAGCTAAAATTCAGCATATCCATAAATAAATCATTTGTTAATAAATACAGGACAGAAACAAATAGTAATACATTGTTGATATTTTCTTGAATACTTGAAACTAAATCTCTATAAAATCGACGTTTTGCCCTTATATTACTCAATATTTAATATTAGTAGCTTATAACAATAGTGACATTACTATTAATAATGACCATAATGCCATATTTCTACAGCTTTAGTAACTGTATGGTAAAACTGTATGGGGTGGTGCTGTGTGGACTGAAATGCTTGCATTTTCTGTTGGGCACAGATTACCTCAAGACTTCAATTTACATGGAGCTATTAAATCTGGATTCATCCAGCTTCACCACAGAGTCTTTGTTCACATATAATGGTGTGCATGTCATGTGTCGAATTATAATGTATCAAACGCTGGTTGTCACTTCTATAGAGCGGCGACAGCGTCAGTCTAGTTCGTAAGTGCTGTGCCAGTCACTGGTCTGGTCCAGCTGTTCTCTCACGCTGTGCAGTTTAAGCAGGTAGTGTAATTTCATTACATGGCTTTTGGTGTTTGTTTCTCATGCACTCCAGTAAAGCCGAGGTGATTAAGACACTACTTTTAATGAGTAGAAAGACACTGCATCGCTCATAACTTTTTGAGAGAAATAGTGCAGTCATTTGACAAGGATAAATAATATGTGTGAGTTTGGGAGCTCCCATTGGCCAATCAATATAGGCCTACCTTTCCTTTCCTCCACAACCAATCATGGACCCCCTCGTTGCTCAGGCCTTGGGGCTTCAGCCCTGCCTAGCCCTTATGTTAATCTGGCCCTGTGTGGGAGTTATTTTCTTGACGCACTTTGGTACCAAACTGAGCATCATTTAAACACCACAGCTTACCTGAGTATGTTCCTTCCCTTTATGACCACGGTGTACCCATCTTGTGATGGCTACTTCCAGTAGAATAACATGTCCCAAAGCCCAAATCATCTCAAATTGGTTTCTTGAACATGATAATGAGTTCACTATACTCAAATGGCCTCCACAGTCACCAGATCTCAATCCAATAGAGCACCTTTGGGAGATGGTGGAATGGGAGATTCGCATCATGGATATGCAGCCGACAAATCTGAAGCAACTGTGTGATATATCATGTCAATATTCGCCAAAATCTCAGAGCAATGTTTCCAGCACCTTGCTGAATCTATGCCTACTATTAGTAGTAGTATATTGTTACATGCTACTTGCTAAGCTAAAGAACTAGCTTGCTGTATTTATGCTGGGCTTGTTATCTACTTGATAGATATATAATCAGTCTTGTTTTATGAAAAAGGCAAGTATAAACAGCCATCCAAGAAA